CACACACACACACACACACACACACAAATGCTATAGAAGAATCCTGATCAAAATGGGAAAATGCAGAAAAGAATTTCAGATTCTCATGGAATCCAGATTTTCTGAAGCCAAGAAGGGTGGATGAACCCCTGAAACTCTGCCCTGAGATAATCTTTAAACCTTAAGCCAAAAATATCCACTGAATTCTTCTTAGAACCAAGTAATAGTTTAGCTTAACTTAAGGATGTCTGCCATGAGCATTGTGCTTTTTTAAAGAACTCTCTGTATGGAATCAAACTGACCACAGCAATGCAAAAGATTATATAGGAAACTTAGAGGCCAGTGAGTTTATGTTAATAGGGGAGATTAGTTCAGAAAAAAGGATGAGAATGATTGCACAATTTAAAGAATATAATCAATGTCTTTGAATTGTACATGTCAAAATTGTTGAATTGGTGTATATTCTGCTGTGTAAATTCTGAACAACAAAAATAAACTGTTTTCAAAAATGTAATGTTAGCTGTATGTTCTTTTGTAGGTATTCTTTATCGAGTTAAAGAAGTTCACCTTGGTTCCTAGTTTTCTGAGAGTTTTTATCATGAAAGAGTGTTGGATTTTATCAAATTCTCTTTCTCTAAGTATTGATAAGATCATATGAATCTTCTTTAGCCTGTTGATGTGATGAGGTACATTAATTGATTTTTTAATATTGAAATAATACAACTTTAAACTTTTGAGTGGAACTATTCACTGCCTTACTAAGCAGAGAGTATGAATATAATTTATACTTAGATTAGTGAGTTGAATTACATCATTATAGGGAAGGATGAGGTGGGTAACTGATATTTTTTGAGTGGTTACTCTGCCAAGAGCTGTGCTTTACATTCATGATGGCTCAGACTTATCTAACCCACAGTGTGTTGTAGCACAATTTTAAGTGTTTTGAGGTAGCTATTGTTTTACAGACCAGGGAGCTTATATACAGAGAGATTAGGTAGGTAACCTGCCCAACTAGCACCTTGCAGAGTTAAAGTTGAACCCCCACAATCTGGTGCTGGAGGCCATGCTTTAAAAGTACTTTGCCACTAGTGTAAACTTCACCACAAACCCCTGGGGTAGGCAATATCACCCCCTCTTACAGAAGTGGCAACTGGGGTTCAACAGAGTTAAGTAATACTTAAAATCCGTCAGTAAGTGGCTGACATTTCTTTTTCTTTCTTTCTATTTTTTTCCTTCTCCAGAACTTTTTTTTATTCTGCCTAGGCAGAGCTTGACATTTCTTTTTCTTTCCGTCTTCTTCTTCTTCTTCTTTTTTCTTTCTTCCCCCTATTTCCTTTTCTAGAACTTTACGATTTTGGTCTAGGCAGTGCTTCAATCTGTCAATTAATGGAAACACTTCTTTCTTCTCTCTTTGGTTCATTTTTCTGCCTCCTCTTTTCCCCTGAAAGTGTCTTTTATAATCATGAAACTATTTACTGAATGACTTTGTTTGCTGTGTTACATATGCTCTGAAATAATTGAGAGAGACATATCACTTACTTTTTCAATTTATGTTCTTATCTACTGACAATTTTTTTTCCCCCAGAGAGATTGGAACAATTATCAGGTCGTTAGGATGCTGCCCCAGTGAAGGAGAGCTACATGACCTGATTGCAGAGGTAAGTAGGGCTAAGAAAGTTTAATTCATCAGGTTCCCTGAATATTGATACAAAGGACCCTATGTGACTACTTGTCATTAAAACTTCTTACCTGAAACTAAAAATATCCTAAACTGCCAGAGGTACTCAGTGAAAATATTAGGGTAGCTATGCAAATAAACTACCCAACAATATCTGAAAAAAATTAAGATCAGATCTTGAAGAAATGAATATGAACAAGTAATGCAATGGATCAAGACCCCACTTTAGATATTATCATGTCTTCAAAATTAGTTGAATAAAAATCAGTGGACATAAGGGATTGATCTTATACAGAAAGAATACTGACAGATGAAAGGAAAAGAGTGAATCATATGAGTCCAAAGAGGATAGAAAAAGAAATAAAGACCACAGGAATTTATATTTATTTGGAGAAATAAAACAGACACTCAGAACAAGTAGTAAACAGCATAAAATAGTAAGAATTAACTTGACGTTGGTCAGGCATTCAAACTATATTTTAAATGATTATTTGTAATTTTTTGGATGAGTTCTAGGAGGAAATGGCTGCTTAAGCAGTAACGATGAGCAGTCCAAGACCAGAGAGCTGCGTACCCTGCCTGGCTTCCCAGAAAGCCCTCTGTTCTAATTCAATGCAGTTTTCAGTTCAACAAAGTGGAGGTCTTAAAGAGAAAAAGCTACCTTGGCAACCAGCAGGAGAAGAATCTTTTCAGAATTGCTTGTCGCTAGGCATGTGAGTTCTGGTCCAGGCCAGAAATAACAAAGAAGGTAAAGGAGAAAGCCAAGGAAGTAGTTTTTTCTTTTCTTTTCTTTTTTTTCCTCTCTCTCCTTATACCAGGCTCCTAGCTCAGAGAAGGGATTGGCCATGTGGGCAAGTCACTTAACCTCTGCTAGTGTATTTCTTTATAGTAATACCTACTTCAAAGATTGATGAAATAATGTATAGCAAGGCGATTTTTGAATCCTAAAGCACTATATAAAAATAAGGAATGGAAGATTAGAAAGATGATTCTGTTGCCAAAATGTTAGCACCATGGTAACTATAAAGAAGTACCAATTTTTCATAAACATTTAAAAATAATCAAGCAGAGAAATCTAAATTCTAAGAATATGTTTTAAAAAAATTATTTTGGGATTAAATACAGCTATTTTTACTAAGATTAGGGGAAATTTTTATTGTTTCAGAATTGGTCCTCACATTAAAAAATTGACCACTGCATTAAAGTGTTTACTGTTACAGGTAAGATTGGTGTCAGGGAAGGGAAGACTAGCACTGTGGAAGAGATAGGAACTGGAAGATGAATTTATAGTGAAATAATAATGATTGCATATAATTCACTAGAGTTGTTGTTGTTGTTGTTGTTAAGTGCCGTCGAGTAGCTTCCGACTCACAGTGACCCCATGCACAGCAGAACGAAACACTGCCCGATCCCACGCCAGCCCCACAATCCCTGCTATACTTGAGCCCATCATCGCAGCCACCTTGTCAATCCATCTTGTTGAAGGCCTCCCCCTCTTCCATTGACCCTCCACCCTACCAAGCATGACATCCTTCTCCAGGGAATGGTCCCTTCTG